CCACTGCCGGGCAGCTCTTCGGGGAGAAGGATAGGAACTTCCTTCTGGGGAGCGCTGCCCCTCTCCGAGCACCCACCCTGGCCTTGGCTCCTCACAGCCCCGAAGGTTCTGAATCAGGGGGTGTGGCCGGCTCGGTCCACGTCCGCCTGGACGGCCGCATCTGCGGTCTCCCCGCTGCCCCTCCAACACATTCCAGCACTGCAGCCACAAGTCCACAAATCTGATCACAGCTTTCCCCTGCTCACAGCTTTTATCCAGGACCTTAAAGTCGAATCCAGACTCCTCCCCATGGCCCCACGCCCTGGTCTGGTGCTGCCCACCCTCCCCGCTTCACCACTGAGGTCCACCCACTCGGGCACTTCCGGTTCCTCATCTTTCCCTTCCTCGGGCCGAGCACACGCTGCCAGATCTTTGCCTGGCGGTTCCTTCCAGTCCTCCCGTGTCTCTGTCACAGCCCCCAGCTGTCTTCTCTGTGGCATCTATCGTCGTTTAGTCGCTCTGATCATTAGGAGTCTGCTCATCTCCCTGAATGCAACGCTAATCCTCGAGGGCAGCACCGCGTCTGTCTGGATGGCCTCTTCCCGGTGCCCAGTGCTGTGCCCGGCACACAGCAGGTCTGAGGATTACATGAACACAGAACCACATCTAGAGACAGCATAGACCAGCCCCGGCACCCACCCACAGATTCTAACCTGAACATCCAAAACTGGGATGCCAAAAGGGGCCAGCAGGTCACAGGGCAGGACATATGTGGGGGGTGGGGGGGTGTCCCTTAGGCCCATGGTGTTTGCAGGATGCACACAATACAATATTCTTTGCTTCCACAAAGAAACAGCCTCTTCTACATTTTTCTTGAAACTCAAAGGCATTTTTGGCTAATTTATGTTTGCCTACTTTAGTCTAGACACATGGTTTGGAAAAATTGTTCTTTTTCCTCTTATCACGACTACAAAAAAATCAGAAGTTCAAGCACAAGGTAAGTGATACCAGCTTCCGTTCGGCGGGTACAATAGGGAGGAGTGGGGACTGAGGCAAACAGGGGGCCACAACCAGGAAACACAGACCTAGTATTACTAGACTGTCCATTACTTTAAATAAACAAGAAACAAACTTTTTCATGAAAATTCTCCATTTTGAAAACCCCATATGGACTGAACCAATCACATCAGAGTGCGGGATGCAGCCTCGGGGCCACCACCTTGCAAACGCTGATGGAATCCACACGTGGTTAAAAGACCCAGGTGCTTTCTCCGCCACCATCCTCTGCTCACTCAAGCAGAGACCCTGGGTGTGAGCAAGCGCTGGCTTCCTTCGTTTCCTTCCATCGAGGCCACTAACTCTATCTGTGGGCCACACCTGTCCTGCGTCCCAGCAGACACCGAGTGGAAGTCTGAAAGGGCCTGGTCAGGAGGTCACCCGCGGCGGGTATCCATGCTCAGCCTCGAGGGAGGGAGGCCCCTGAGCTCCCCTCCCTAATCAGTCGCAGGGCGCCCAGGAGGCCAACCTCCCTCTCTCCCTGCCATCTTGAAGCAGCTTCCGGAGAGCCCCCTGAAACATCCCCCAAAAGAGGAAGTTCAAACCAAAAAAGAGAGAAAGTACAACACAAGAAAGCTGTTTGGACAGAAAACCCCAGAGGCGCTGGAAATAGTAACATGCTCACCTGCCAGCCAATCTCAACACACCGCCCTTCAGCGGCTCCTCGACCCCGGGAGGCAGTGCAAAGGCCCTGTCTCCTGCCCTCCTCACTGGCCACGTCTCCCACTGCTCCCCTCCCACTTGCTGCTCTTCTGTTCCGAAGAACACCTTGCTTTGTCCCACTGCGGGGCCTTTGCGAGTTCTGTTCCCTCTGCCTGGGATATTTTTCTCCTCCCTCTCAGCCCAGTCACCTCCTATTCATGCTTCACGGCTCAGCCTAAAAAGATGCTGCCTCAGGGAAGCCCTCCTTGACCACATCCAGATAAGTGCACATCCCTCTGTTCTTCACCCTCCCAGATCTCTGTGCTTCCTCTTCCCTGCACCTTCCTCAGTGGTTACCACTCAGGTCTTGGCTGTCTCAGAGAGGCCGTCCCTGCTCCTTGTCTCCCAGATGCCCCCTATCACATCTCCCCATGCTATGTTCTCTGCGGCATTCATCACAGTTTAGAGGCTTGTGTGTTTCGTGCTTACTGTCTGACAGTGCCACGAGAACAGTGTGTTTCACTGCCCGTGGCGTCTCCAGCTCCTGGCACACAGCCGGGGTTCGAGGTGTAGAATGAAGCAGGCCCACTTCACCAGGAACCCCAGGACACCCCTAGGACTGGAGGCGGCTGGCCTGAGGCTCCTTTTAAAACCAAAGTGGCCCTGGGAGACAGGCTGCGGGGGGAGGCACCTGCTGCTCAGGCCTGGTCCCCACCCAGATCTCCCTTTTCCAGCTCATCTGCTCATCTGCAAAACAGCTTCAGCTTGGGGACCTGCTAATGAATGAAGCTTTAAGCAGAGGCTGCAAGTGACTGTGCTCTGGCGGTTTCTGCTTCTTTTGGTAAATAAACTTCAGCGAGCGCTGAGTGGGTTTATCGCCGCACGGAGCTGCAGGGAGCTGGGCTCTTCATTACGGCCCTTACAAATGAGCGTGAGCCACCCGAGTCGGAGCTAAAGAGAGCCCTGAGTGGGAAAATGCAGTTACTACCGGCAGTGCCTCTTGACGGCTGTCCCTAATAGAGACGAAATGACGCTGAGGTTCAGCTGCTGGGCACAAGGACATCTCGCTGCAAGAGGCGGGAGAGAAGGAACAAGCAAGATGTTCAGGTTCCTTAAACGGGTGAAAAACCGCAGCCACCCTGACTGCCCATCCCTGTGGGCCTGGGTCATAAATTACCATACAGCCACAGGATGTCACTTATCTGGTGGGGCGCTCGGTCTTCTCAGCTCTAAAATTGACATAACGGCACCCTAGCCACGGGGTCACGGCCAGTGACCTACTCCACGAACAGAGTTCAGCACACGGCTGGCACAGAGTATGTGCCCAGGAGACAGGAGCAATTATTATTTAACTGTGGGATCCTGGGAAGCCAAAGGATGACGAAGACCTACACCCTCCAGTACGGAAGCCACCAGCCTCAAGAGACTGCCCAGCACTCAGAAGGCGGCCGGTCTAAACTAAGATGCGCTGTAAGTTCAATGTTAAAAGCCTGAGTTTGGAAACTTAGTACAAAGAAAAGAATGTAAAAAATCTCGTTTTTTCTTACATTGATTACAAGTTGAAACGATATTTTAGATACATTGTTATTTTAAACATATTGAAACTTGCTGTACACCTTAAACTTACACAGTGTTGTATGCCAATTATATCTCAATAAAACTGGAAAAAAATTAATATATTGAAACTAATTTCATCTGTTTCATTTCTACTGTTTAAAATTTGGCTACGAAAAGACAGCTACAATCAAAGAAACTCTAAACACATTGGGTTAAATAAAAATATATTATTGAAACTAATTTCATCTGTTTCTTTTTCCTTTTTTATGCGGCTCCTGGAACATTTAAAATTACATGGATGGCTCACATTTGTGGCTCAGATTATATTTCTATCGAACAGCTCTTATGGATACATTCTCACATGGAAATATGTCCACACCTTTTTTTAAAATTGAGATATAACTCACATAACAGAAAATTCAACCTTTTAAACTGGACAATTCAGGGGCCGGCCGGGTGGCGTAGCCGTTAAGTGCATGCCCTCCGCTGCCATGGCCCAGGGTTCGCAGGCCCGGATCCTGGGCGCGCACCGTGGCACGCTTGTCAAGCCATGCTGTGGCAGGCATCCCACATATAAAGTGGAGGAAGATGGGCACAAACGTTAGCCCAGAGCCAGTCTTCCTCAGCAAAAAGAGGAGGATTGGCGACAGATGTTAGCTTGGGGCTGATCTTCCTCACCAAAAATTAAAAAAAATATAAAAAAACTAAAGTGGACAATTCAGTGGTTTTCAGTACAGTTACAAAGTCGTGCAACCATCACACTAATTCCAGAACATTCTCATCACCCTGAAAAGAAGCCCTGTACCTTATCAACAACAGTCACTCCCCATTTGTCCATGCTATTTTGAGTAAAAAAAAGCGAGCTGCAGAACAGTATTACAGTATCAAGTGGGGTTTTATAAAAACTAAGATATATTACTATTAACATATATGCATACCCCCGTTTGTAGATGCATTTTTTAAATGTTGGAATGATGTACACCAAACTGTTAATGATGGTTATCTCTGGGAACTAGAGTTGGGATGGGAGAGAAAAGGGAGACGGTGCTCACCCTTTCTTTTACATACTTCTGTACTGCTTTTGTGATTTAAAAGGAGAAAGAGCTGCATTTCTAGCCCTAAATAACTCCTGGTGAACTTCGGTAAATAACTTTTTCACGGCGCTGGCAACAGACTGGCTTCAGCTGGAAGATAAAGGGTCCAGTTTTAGATCTACTTTTTATTCTGTGCTTTTAAAATAGAAAGTACAGCCAGAGACGAGGAATTTTCCCTCCTAGCAACAGCAGAGGACCGAGGTGCCTCCCGCACAGACGCAGCCTGCCGCCCGCTCCCGGCATCTGGCACACAGCTCGGAGCGGAGGGGCCGAGCGCCTCCCCCAGGGCCCGGCCCGGCAAAGGGCAGCGGCTCCGAGCGCGCCTCGGGCCGGCGTCCCGGCCGACGCGGGGGGCCCCGGGTGGGATGCGAGGCGAGTCTGGGCCCCCAGGGCCCGTGTCGGCTGGAGGAGGGAGCGGGCGCGACCCGCCGCGCATCTCTGGGCGGCGCCAGTCACCGCTCCGCAGAGGAGGGGAACTCATGGGCCCTCTCTCCGACCCGGGGCCACTGCGCCGGTGCAAAAGGATGCTGCGGGGAGGCCGAGGGTTCGGGTCCGGGTCCGGGTCCCAGCGCGCCCGGGGCCCGCACCCGTCCACTCCACCCCCGGGGCGCGCGGGCCCAGACCCCCCAACCCCGAGACCCTTCTCCCCCGCCTCCAACCCCCGTCCGCTACCTCGGCCCCGGGCTCGGGGGTTAGGAAGAGCGCGAGCTCGTGCGCCCCGCTGCGCACGGGCTCCGGCCGCTCGGCGTCCACGAGCAGCATCACGAGCGCGGCCGGGTCCAGCTGTCGGACGCTGCCCGGGAGCCTGTCGCCGCGCCCCGGGCTCGGAGCCCCGCCCCCAGCCGGCTGCATGCCCCGCGGCCCGTCTGGCGGAGGCGGGGCAGGTGCGCACCCGGCGGCCGCAGCCCGCGCCTCCCGGAGCGCCGGGCCGAGTGGGCAGCGCCACCCAGTGGCGCGCGGCGCTCACTGCGCCCGGCCCTCGCACCACCTGGTACACCCGAGCTTCTCAAACTCGCTTGCAGATTGCAATCAACTGGGGCTCCTTTAAAACTTCCAAAATCCGGGCCCCACACAGTCCCTGGGGTTGGGACCTGGGCATCAGCATTTTTTGAAGCTCGCTAGGTGATTCCAATGTACCGCCGAGCTGGAGAACCCTCGGTGTAGACCACCCCTTTTTATTGGAATCCGGGTGGAGCGGCGGTTCCCAGTCCCCACAGCACTTTAGGAAGCCCTGGGGAGCTTTTAAAAGCCCGGAAGCCTGGCCTCACCCCAGGCCCTTTCAGCCAGAATCTCTGGGGGTGGGGCTTGGGCATCGGGAGTTTTTAAAGCTCGCCGGGTGATTCCACCATGCCTCCAGGATAGAGAAGGGCCATCCTAGAGGATCCTTTCATTTAAAGACCAACGCCGCCCGGCCCCAGGCCTTCCCTACTCCAGCATCTCCTTATCCTGCAAATTAGGGAAGCCGGGTGGCGGTCCTCTTCCTCCCAGGGGCAACTTTTAACATAATTCCCGGGGAATTCTTAAGCGCACTAAATGTGACCCCCTCACATGCCCCTAGGAGGCTGTCTAGGCCCTTTAGAGGCTGAAGAGGGCGCGGTGATACCCCCAAAGCAATGCTAATGAGGAAAATACTAAAAAGGTGAAGTATAGGGAAGTCTAGAGTTCTAATGTTTCCTATGATGACTTTTCTTTTAAAATGTTAAATTCGTTTAAAAAATCGGGCTAGGCTTTTAGGGTTGTGAATAAACATGCAGGATATATTTCACCCCCCCCCACCTCGTTAAATCTGAATTTATATTTTATCTGGCAACCCCGGGGAGGGGCGTAAACACATGCTCCGTCTGTCTTTTGGATAATCCATCACTGTACCATTCCCACTTCCTTATCTGCCCACTGCTAATTTCTCCACATCCCCGCCCAAACATTCAAGCCTTCAGGCCAGAGTCATTTTCTGGAAAATTCTTGGCAAAGACTTGGGCCTCAGGTGCTTAGGAAAAGGATTTGATGGGAACTCACTGAACCCACACTTGGCCATTCATTTCTGCCGTGATTTCTCTGATGGTCAGAGCCCTTCCAGGCATCACACACGCCCAGGAACCAGACCCTCACACTGTGGTCTGGCTAGGGGCCCCCCCTCGGAAAAGCCCAGAACCAGCCTCAGATTAGTCAAATAGGTCCGAGCACAGCAAACTTCCCCTGATGGATGAATCTCAAAAACATACTGCTAAGAAAAAAAAAACGACAAGTTGCAGAAGGCTCTGGAAGGCACGCTGCCATTAACATAAAATTTTAAAAACATGCGAAACCACACTGTATATTGTTTATGGATACAGACATATGGAGTAGAAGTATAAAGCTGTGCATGAGAAGCACGCACACCACATTCGGGAAAGTGGTGGCTTTGGGGTGGGGGAGAGGAAATTGGGAAGGGGTATGAGAGAGGTTTCAATTATATTTGTAATGTTTTATTTCTTCTGCTGATGTTTGTTATAATATTTAAACTTTTCGAATGCCCAAAATGACTCATTTAAAAGAAGAAAAAAAGCCTGGGACATCAGCAAAAAGTGCAGATTGCACACACACCCCTGTCCCTGGAGATGGGGTGTCTGGAGAAGATATCTGGTTCTTCCCAAGTGTCTCGGTGACTCACACCCAGGGCCAAGTTGGCTAGCCAACAGTCATTTTGTTTCTAGTCTTTTTTTCTAAATGTGTGATTATACCTTAGAAACATTTGCTAAAAATACAGATGCCCAAGCCCTACCCCAACTTTCTGAATTAAAATCTTCGGGGAGCTGGGCATGTGCGTTTTTAAAGGCTGTGCAGTTGATTCCGCCGGACACCAGCGTCTGAGAAGAACCCCTGTCCGGGGGCTGGGGGCTGCCTCTTGCTGCTGCCATTAGCCAGGACCCCCGGGGGAGGCCAAACCAATGATTTTAAACAAGGAGGGCTGAATTTTTTTAAATCTCCCGGACTCCCAGGGGTGCTCGGCTCCTGCCCCAGAGGCCTGCCCCCGGGACCCAGCTCTGGGGGAGACCCTGGGCAGGCAGCAAGCCCGGGGCCTGGAATGCAGCCTGCCCGGGCCGCACCCTGCCCAAACCAGTTTGAACCAGCCTCGGGGATGGAGCCGTGGCGCGTCCCCGCGAGCTCCCTCTGGCGCCCAAGCCGGGCTCAGAGCTGCTGCTGCGGCCTCCTGCTCCGGCCTCCTGCTCCGAGCCCTCCGCAGGGGCGGGCAGAGAGCACCCCCCAGCCAGGGGTTGGGGCTGATGCGGGGAGGGGGGTGCCTGGCCGCCAGGCCCTCCGGGCCCCTAGGAGCCCTGGTAGCCCCCAGCTGGGCCCCGAGGCCACACAGCCTCCCCCACCCCCCACCCCATCTAGCTTCCCCTCCAGCTACAAAATGGTTGCCTGTCTGTGTCTTTTCAAGGTCAGTTCTCCCAGCTCAGGCCAAAGGCACAGAAGGTTCTAGATTAGCAGTGGTTCCCAAGCTCGGGCACCCTGGAAACTCCTGGGAAGCTTCCAGAAAATACTGATGCCCAGACCCCACTCCAGACATTGTGATTTCATTGCTCTGGGGTGTGGCCTCGGTTTGGGGAGGTTTGAAGGATCCCCAGGTGACCTGATCTGCCCTGTTCCAGGGTTTGCTTAACACTGTGGGCGTGGGGGTCCTGGGGGCCCTCGCCTCTACAGCAGTCCTCTGCTGAAGGGAGCGCCTACTACCTGGAGGGCACTGTTGTAAGCTCTCCATGGAGACGGCCTCATTGAATCTCCACCACACCCCGCCGTGGCCCTGCTGTGATGCCCATTTTACAGATGAAGAAACTGAGACACAGGTTAAGTTGCTCACCCAGGGTCATAACTACTAAGTGGAAGAGTCAGGATCTGACCTCCGACAGTCTGATTCCAGAACCCAAGGCCTTCCCTGCTGCATGGCCCACGCTGCCTCCTGTAAGATAACCCCCTTTCCGTCCCTGTTGCTGCCTCCCCAGTTCAAGCCTGGCCTATGGGGAAAGCGCACCCTTTCACTGCCCTCCCAAAGCACATGCTCGCCATCTCCTTTCTTGCTCGTAATTCCTCAGTGGCTCCCAAGTGCCCACCAGTGAAGTTCACAGGCCATGCCCCGGCCCTACCTTGCAGCTCTGTCCTTGACTGCTTTTCTCCGTGAGCCCTAAGTTGCGCACGGGAGCCCACAGGGCAGGGCCAGGACTTGGTGAGGTGAGAGAGGCACTTGGAGAACAAACTGTAAGGGGGCTCGCTGAGACCCGGAGTGAGGGCTCCTTGTGTGGCGTGCCCTGGGCATCTTGCTTGCCTCACCGGAGTCCTGGCCCTGCCACGTGGCCTGCTGCTATAGACTGAATATTTGTGCCCCCCAGATTCATCTGCTGAGCCGAACCCCAAGGCGATGGTGCTAGGAGGGGGCCTTTGGGAGGTGGTTAGGACGTGCGGGTGGAGCCCTTGTGAATGGGATTAGTGCCCTTATCAAAGGGGCCCCAGAGCGCTCCCCTGCCCTCCCACCACGTGAGGACACAGTGAGAAGTCGGCCCCTGCAACCCGGCAGCGGCTCTCAGAGGACACCGGATCTGCTGGTGCCGGGATCGAGGACTTCTGGCCTCCAGAACCGTGAGAAATGAATGCTTGTTGTTTACAAGTTGCACAGTCTGTGGTATTCTGTAATAACAGCCTGAGTGGACTAAGGTGCTTGCAGACGTGTTTGGTTTGGACAACATCGTGTTCAAATACATGCGTACGTCACATAACGCCGTTTCAGTCAACGCACGTACAGATACTCGGGACTGCATAGACGACGGTGGTCTTGTAAGATCAGTACCCTCTAGCCCAGGTGTGTCGTAGGCTGTGCCATCCGTGTGTGTGTGAGTGCACTCTGTGATGTTCGCACAGCTGTGAAATCGCCTAACGATGAGTTTCTCAGAGCCTGTCCCCATCGTTAAGCAATGCATGTCTGCCTGTATATCTTTTAATGTAGTATGTAGCCTTTTACATTCACATGGACGTTCAAACTTGTGGCTTCTCTCAAAAAGAAAGGAAAGACCAGGAAACCGTGGGCCTGCACTGTGGCCTGGCAATACTTGGGAGTTAGGGAGCCGCCCGTCTGCCACAGTCTCCCCACCTGGCCCCGGTCTCTCACTGACCTGCTGGTCCCTGGAGGTGTCTGGGTTTCTGGTTCCGGGGTCCCCTGAGCATGGCCCACGTCTGCTGGGCTCACATCCGCGTCCAGAGTTCCCGTCTGGGAGGCCCTAGCTGCCCCTGGGCTGACCGCCCTCCCTCCCTCCTCTCAGCCTTCCAGGTCTCTTTTCAATGGCCCATTTTTCTGCCCCTTAAACTTGCCTTTTGATACCTCCCACCCTCTGCTAAGCTGTCAGTTCACCACCAGACAGGAAGCTCCTGGACGACGGAGGATCTGTCGCTTCCCGGTTGTTCGGATTGCTGCAGGAGTCCAGCAGGCTGCCGGTGCGCAGAGTCCTCAGTATACACACACGTCTAAAATTTGAAGTCACTCTCCTGCTCAGCATCTGTTTCCCCACTTGCAAAATAATTTAGAACACAGTCCATCTTCATGGAAGTGTACTGAAAAACCAGGTTTTAAAAGCATTTTCCGGGCCGGCCCCGTGGCTTAGCGGTTAAGTGCGTGTGCTCCGCTGCTGGGGGCCCGGGTTCGGATCCCGGGCGCGCACCGACGCACCGCTTCTCCGGCCATGCTGAGGCCGAATCCCACATACAGCAACTAGAAGATGTGCAGCTATGACATACAACTATCTACTGGGGCTTTGGGGGGAAAAAATAAATAAAT